GCTGCTTCAACCCAGCTCAGTGTGCTGCAGAGGGGCGGGCTGGGGAATGAGTGCTCTGGTGCAGGGCTAGCTGGCAGACAGACCCCACACTGAAGTACCCCCACATCCCAGCCAGCCACATCAGTGTCACATGTGCAGTGCTGCAGAGTAAAAGAAACCGAACCCGCCCCACAAAAACCCCCCAGCACCCTCCCTCCAAAAGCCGGCTCTGCAGCAAGTACTACCTTGCTGCAGATTTAATTTGTTTCCTGCAGCCTAATAGGGCCACACATGTAGATATGAGATGTTTACTGTGATGCTAATTAGTCTAGTCTGCAGTAAACATCCCACATAGATGTGTCCAAGGTGTAGCATAATGCTGCCAAACCACCTTCCATTTGAGCTTCGTATGGGATCCAGTCCTGCACTAAATTCGACAAAGGTACCCAGTCCCGTCATAGTCTGAAATTCAGTTACTGCAAAGATATGAATATTACACATCTTGGACATATTGCCTTTTTTTCCCCACAGCCATAAATTCCCCCATCCAAGCACCTTAAGATGCTTTACATAAGCCAGGCCTCAAAATGCACCCCTGCTGAGGTGAAGAATCATATTATTCCCACTTTGCAGATGAGATTGCAGAGGAGTGCACACATTTTAAATAAAATAGCTTAGCACACATACAGATCATGAGTTAAATAAATTAGAGCGTATACAATCCTCATGGGACACTTTTCATCTTGAAATTTTAAAAATGATTTACAAATGCATGTAAATATCCTTTCCCTCATTTTGCAGACGTGAATATAAAAGCGGAGACTGAAAACAGCAAGTTAACAACATTGGAGTGGCAAAACCTGCAGGAGAGCTCTAATCCTCTAATTCACAGTCCAGGGCCATCTGCAGTGGGCAATGCTTGCCTTTCCTGCCTTTATCCATTTGTGTGAAGCAATAAACTGATGAAACTGAAGCCATAAATCCTAGAGGTACCGAGTGCAACTTTATAAATTATTTGCCTTGTGGTACAGAATGGAGGTACAGCAACTAAGATGCTGACTTCCGAAATCATAATTCTGGTTCCAGAGGCACCATTAGTTTGGGCCTTGTTACACGTTTTACTTTGAGTTGCTCAAACGTTGATCAGTGCGGCCATGTCTACACGTGTGCTTTACTGCCGAGTAGACCAATTAGCTGGAGAGTAAAGCATCACTGTTTACACGTGAGGGTAAACTAATTAACACCGCTGTAAGATAGTAATGTCAGGGACAATACTATCTTAGGGTAGAGACATTAACTGCAATTAAATACACATGTAGACACTGACCATGGGCTTAAATTGCACCTAGTCACCTCAGCCAGCAAAGAGCCAGACTCCTTCCTGCCACCTAGCTGCTTGGCTCTGCACTTTCGGCACCCTTGTGCCCCAGCTAGCCCCTCTACCACCTGACATTACCCCCTGGAACCCAGGGCAGGAGTGAGTGCCTCTGGCATAAACTGCTCTGCCCTAGGTCAAATTGCTGTGCCTGGGAGTAGTTTACTTCAGCTCAAACAGCTCCAGAGTTTATTGCTTCAAAATTAATTGCATATGTAGAGTTAGCGCTCTACATATACATTGTTAGTGCTAGTTTGAGTTTGGAGCAGTCACACATTAGGGCTAAAATAAAAACCGTCCCCAACTGTCCCCCTACTTGCAAAGCTGTGACTTTCCACTAGATGGGTGGTGAGCAGGGGCCTGACTAGGAGCTACGGCTGTGAGTTGCCACTACAGGGCTGGTGAGCCAGGACAGGCTTCTATACCTGCTCTAGGTGCGGGTATGTGAAAGATGGGGATAGGAACACAAGTCTGGGAAGTGGAGAGTTGATGGGATTGGGATGGGTAATGAAATGGGATGCAGAAGAGAAATGGGGGTGAGGAAAGGGTGGTGAAATTAAGTCAGCCACCGAAGGATAAAATAAAAAGAAGTCAAACACACTTCTTCGTGTAGAAAGAAACAAAGAAGTAAATTAAAAGGTGGTCTCATATTTTAATAAACTGGTTGCACTTCCCAGGATGGCTGGGGAGTGGGAATGGGGAACCACTGCACCTTCTCCAGAAAGGAAACCTCAGCTCATGAGGACCCAACCCCCCCCCCGCCCCCCAGATCCCATTCATATACAATATCCATATCAGGCGAGCTAGCTAGTTGGCATGTGCTCTGCCGGCTGTTTGTGTGGGGTTGCACCCCTGGAGGTAGGAAGGTCACACCCAGAGTGTTGGAGGGGGACTTGGTTTCATGCCAAAACCACCCCTTGGAGTTCAGAGGGTAGAAAGTCTGTCCACAGAGAACAGGAGGGTGAGGAAGGGACACTGCATCCTGGGATGATGGAAAACTGCAACTTGGGTGGCTCATCTGCAGCCACGTTAATGAAACAAGCTGGGGAACATGGATCAGAGATAAACTTGCCATTGGAGTGGCGTAACTTTAAGCCACCTAAAGTGGGCTTAAAACTAGTTTCAGGTATTAAGGTATAAACAATCCAGGGGTTGAGAGCCCCAGGAGCTGCCTAACATTACTATATAACAAGGCCCTCCAACTCCAGCCAAGCAGAGTGGTTCAGGGGCTGCTGTAAGGGAAGCTGTCACTTCCTCAGGTTAACAGCCAGATTAACCCTTCCCTGTTCCCAACAGTACCAGTTTTACATGGTGAGCAAGGATCCAAAGCCCCTAATTTAGCAGTGGCTGCAGGGCTAGGGAAGGGTTAATTTAGCCCTTGGTGGTGATAACTCATAGCTCCCCTTACAGCAACCGTGTCCCTTAAAGGGAGTAGGAGGCAGTGGGCTGATGAGAGGATTACTGAATCTACTAGACTCCACTTTGCCAAAACCTTGGCTCTGTCTCCATTTTGGCACCCGCCCCCGCCTCCCCCGCTTTTCACTGAGCACCTGGGCTTTGTGTCCCACTTGCTCACCCTTGGTTATGCTACTGTTTTCAGTCAAAGAAAGGGTAACTGGTTAAGGAAATCATAACAAAAGAAATGGTAAGAAATCCCCTCCCCACCCAGAGGCAGTAACAAGGGGCAGAAAACTACTAGCAGAACTTCTTGTGCTGTAGCCTAAGCCCATCATGGTGCTTCTAATGATCATGCAGTCTGGTATAGTGCACATGGACATTTTTTGGGGTCTGAGCCACAGGAGCTCCAAACCAGATTCTGTTTCCAACTTCCATCATTTTACCTTGCCCTGCCTAAAAAGTTAGATTGCCAAAGTATTTGCTAAAATAGTAGAAGCTAAGCATGAAGTCAGTAGGTGAGCATTGCTTCATGGATATTGATGTAAAAAACAGTTGCCATACAACTTCTACTGATCTAAAGAACAGATGCTTGCATATGATTTATGAATACTGAAATATGTGCATATCTTCCATAAATAGTAATATGTTCCAGCAACAAAACGAGCAGAGAATTTAGTCCGAAAGGGCTGAGAAATTGTAGGCAGTACTTGAAATTATCCAATGATTCTTAGCTTTAAGTAAAAATCACAGATTACAAGCACAATTTGTGGTTGGGAGAAGCTTATTTAGTAGATTCTCCAATTTCAACAGTGCTAGTAGCATGGGAGTAGTAAAGACCATTCACCTCAGTTTAACAAATCAGGACTAAGAATACAGATATAGCTGTGCTTAGACTAGTTAACACACAGCTTTTGCTCATTAAGCCCGTATAATAAATAATCAATATGTACTAATTATACATTACATCTTTAGGTCTATGCATGGCATAAGTGCTCTGAGAATTTTTACCCAGATTGTATTCAATTTGCTATCAAATTTTAACAAATTCTTAAAAAAAAATTAAATGGGCAAATCATATTCAAAGCCTACACATTCACACTTACACAATTACATAAATTATTACTTTAAGATTCATCAAATATTTGATTAAACAGATATTATCACCAGTGCTCACATATGCCCTTCTCCTAAATTAGCATGACTAAATCAGCACTCTACCTCTCAGAAAGATTGAGTTGCAGACATGTAATTTTAGCCAATGGTTTAATTTTAACACCATGGTCAGACTTTGGACAGTGGATTTATTAAAAATAATAATCTTATTCAGTGGACATGAGCATAGTTTTCTTGGTCAGGAGTTTCAGGACAGAGAACAGCTAGTGCTGGATTCAGCAATTTTCAACTTTTGTTTTTGTCATTGTGTGTGCATGCCATTTTTTCTTTTTTTAAAGAGTCCTATAACTGCTCTTCTACTTCAAGAAGGGTTCCTAATATGCTGGCATTATCTTCAGTTTCACAATTAAGGGACTTTCATCATAAATAAATTTGCATAGCTATAGCTATGACATCATGCAAAAAAGGGGGGTGTATAGGTTGCAGCATTTATGTAGGATAACGTGTGTTGTATTTAACATGAATCAATTTTCCCTCCATGTTTGCAGCTGAAATGCAATGTTGCTTTGAGAAAAGCAACAGCTATGTAACCTCTCTCTCCAAAGGAGGCATTATTTCTGTTGAAGGAACAGTGCTGTCTTAGACATGTTTTTCTAACTGCACTGCACCAGGATATTATATTTTCATAGGTTTAAATCCTGATGTAAATATTATTATTGTCTATTTGGGTTGCATGCTTATCACCAGTTGTAGACTCCCACCCTGTAATTACTTCACTGGGCTCTAAATATACCCCAAACTTCCATGAATTTCAATTTCAAATAGCAAAAGCAAAACATTGAAGAAACCTTAGGTAAAAACTACAGAGTACAGGCTATGGTGTTGGCCTTTGTACAAGCAGCACCAAAATAAGTGCCTTCTGTTTTTGTTACAAAATGCTTCTCTCTCTTGTGCTGTTGTATATATAATCTTGCAAACATGTAGCCTGGAGTTTAATTTCAATAAAAGACTGGTTTGGACAGAAACATTCAATAAAATAAAGCTTATGTTGATAATGATCACCTGGATGTCATTCTTTTTACTGAAGTTGCAGCAGTTTCGATATTTAATTGGATTTTTTTCTAATTTATTTCAGGTTGAGCTTCACGATAATATGATGATGTGGCATTCAAGAGGGCTCTTAAGAAAAAAAAGGAAAAGTATGAACTATGAACAAGAAAAAAGGTAAACTAATTAAAAAGCACACCAAAGCCCATAATTATCCTTTCCTTTTCTCACTGATCAGACCAGAACCTAGACTGGTGTAAACTGACATGCCTTCATTGACGTCAGTGGAGCTGTTTCAGTTTATACTAGCCAAAGATCTGGTCCCAAATGCCTTTATGCCATTTTTAGAAACAGCCACTGGAATTCACTTGAGTGTCAAAATTAAAAATACATCCATGCACTGCATTTCTTTTCTGTCCCCAAGTGTATAAATGGAGGTTTGTTAACAGACTGTGGGAGATGGAATTACTGGAAGCAGCCAATAACTGCATCCAAGATATAGTTTGTGACATAAGCGAAACAAATGTGGTTTTGTCCTTTGCTTTTGGGCAAATGAATATTTGCATCCAAAAAAACCCAAAAACCTAAAACCTTTCACTCCTAGAGTAACAATTTAACAAAGGAACACTAATCATTTAAAGATGTTGTAAGCCTCAGAACATTTGTCCTAGAATTACATTAATGTAATCAGCCAATCAACACAGAGGGTCTATTTTAATATATCATTAAAGAGGTAATCTAGGAGTGAAATACTTAGAACTTGCAAGAAAGCCCCAAATTCCAGACCTACTTGCTCACCCAGATAATTTCCCTAAGAGTCTCACTGCTGGAATAGCAACAAGATTGATTAAAAAAATAAGATGGCTGTACAAAGCAGCCAGCATGGAGCCAGACCTATTTGACATCTATCATTTATTCTCCAATTGATGTGTGTGTGGGGGTGGGAGAAGAAAGGAAGGAAGGAGGTGGGCCAGTGAAAGAACAGAGTAACATTTCAAACTAGAGTTGTAGGCACTATTACCAGGTTGAGAAAAGGAAGCCTGTATGTCTGTGTTCCACACAGAGAGGCTGTTAAACATGAACACTACTGAACAACAACATCCAGTTGCTGATATTACCCACAATGCAGGTAAATTGTTCCTCTTTTGATGCCAGATAAAAAGGTCCAAATATGAAAGCCTGGTAATTAGGAACAAAGATGCAGCTTGCAGAGCAGAATAGTAACCGTCTGTGCAGCACAACACCCATATCTTCAATTTAGGTCAGTCCATCAAGAGAAGAGAACTGGAGATGAGATGCTCTATTTCGCACAATTGCCCTCTGGAAGGACTGGCAAAGGCAGTCACTTAAATTAAGTACAGGTCATCAGACAAGATATCTAATCTATTCCTAAGACAGACATCTTCAGCAGCCCAAATCCCTGTGGCCTTTACAGTGACACAATGAACTACTTCCTCATGTACTTCTGTCTATTCATGTTAGGTTCTTACTTTTTTAAAAGCTATATTTCATGTACACTATGACCCTATTGCTCATAGCAAGGAAAGTGCTTTGGTTTATTTATGACCTACTAACCTTAAATAAAAAAGCATACATCCAATCTGAATGTTCTCATAAGCCTGGAGATCTGAAATAAAACTTTAAATAAATCTGGCATTTGTACTGCAGCCAGCTCAGCCCAGTTGGGGAATTAAAAAAAAAAAAATCAAAACCAGATGACAGAAGAGGAAAGCATTATTACTCTGTATAAACTGCAAGTGTTCGGCATCAGAAGTGCCTGGATTTGGTAAGAGTCTAGCTTCTAGCAGTACAGCTAAATTGTAAAAAAAAAGTACGGTTTTCCATCTAAAACTGGAGATAGGAGAGTAGAATAAGCAGCCAACTGTATTTATTGAGATGGAATGTCACACAGCCACTGCATGTAATAGCTTCCCTCTTTCCCCCCCAAGGTATCAGGCAAGACAGTGCACTGAAAGATAAAGTGACAGGGAGAAGAAGAGAATGAGAATGCGTGAATAAGTACTGAAAGAAATGGAGTATAGAAAGGAAGCATACAATAGAGAGAATGTTAAACATGAGTGACCCTAAACCATGAAGTCTATTCATTTAGCTGGGACAATGTTGAACACATGCAGATAAATACAAAAGCCTATTGAGACCAAGGGCCTGATTCTCCACTCAATTAGATGCGTGTAAATGAGGAGTAACTTCACTGAAATCAATAGCTCTCCATTTGGATAAAGCCAGGGGAAGGCAAGCAGAGAATCAAGCCAAGTCTGTAGTCTGCTACTTGTGGATACACCACAGGTGCTCCACTGTATCACCAAACAAGTTCATTGCTGCATTTGCTTGGAGTTTTGAAGCATCAAGATCTCAAATGATAGATTCCCCAGGCAAGTGTGCTTCCTGTCTATAAAAAGTGCTCTAGGCCCATCGAGGAAAGAAAAACCAGGCTGTGCTCCTGCCACGTCTTCGTACATCAACATGATTTATCGTTTTATCTAAAGCAGGAGATCCCAAACTGTAGTACACATATCCCTGGGGGTATACAAGACATCTCTTAGGGTTTTGAGAAAGAAATTGTAATAGCAAATTTAAATTTTCATTAAGTAATAATTGGCATATAAGGGATTAAAATATAAAAACGCATGCTGGTAAGCATATGCGGGCATCTGGTAAATCTGGAATAGGGTATGCAATAGATTAGAGGTTGCCAAACATTTTCCTAAAGAACAGCAAGCCATTGACTAGTAAATGTAGGTAAGTGATATCGGAGTGGTAATAAATGCCAGGATACATAGGCAATCCATTTAAAAGAATAGTTATAATTTAGGGTCAATGCTGTGGAGTAAAACTTGCTAACAAAATTTATGCAAACAACATAAAAATTGTAGCATATCAAATATTATTGTCCTGAGTTCCCAGAATGCAAATAATGCAAAATAAGGTGTTTGAAGTGATTTTAAAAATAAAGGAGGTACACAGTAATCTGACAGATACCATGCCACCAGCATTTGGGGACAAGACTTCATCTACAATAGTTAATACATACCCAGGAATTCTTCAATTACCTGGTAACTTCTCTTCTTCTGTTCAGCAAATATAGAAGCATCTTAGCATGAAGAATACTCAGTTGAACCTCTCAAAGGAATTCTGTCCTGTGGAACAACTCTGCTTGCTGCTACTATTAGTAGGCACAGTGGATTCCTACAGTATCAGCTTTTACCATTTGTAGTCTCTCCCTTTCCCAAACCTTGCCCTTGGGGAAAAAATAGTTTTTTGCCATATTAAATTGCAATATTACATCTACTTTAGTTGGGCATAAAAAACTTTTTTTTATTCTATCAAAAATGTAACTGAACTAGAAACCTTTAGAACAATGGCAGACGAGAGTTGTCTTATTGTGAGAGAGTCTTATCAGACTTTAAGGGTGATATCAAGTCCTTGAAATGAGAAAGACATGGCCATCTCATAAATATTCCAGAAGGAATCTGGGTCATTCTAACCTAGAGATAAGTTCATTTATATCTCCCCAGAAAGTCAACATAACTGGAAGCAGCAAATAAAAAGTGTACATGTAAAAAAAAAATCTAAGAATTAATTTCCTCCAAATTAGTTTGATAGGATTTCATTTCACCTGCAATATCTTAAAGTGGCGATTTAAATACAAAAGTCAGCTAAAGTGGTGATGTAAAATTTACAAAGCCTGTCTAAATTACAAAGCTAGTACAGAATCTGTATGGATTCTGCACAGGCACTTAAAGAAATGGAATGCTCTTATTAAAGTAAAACATTGCACCTGTTTCACAGTAGAGCCTTTGGTAGTCTAGCAATTTGCTAAGAGAATAAAGTTGCTCTTTTCCAAAAACATTGAAAAACAATACCATTTAAGACAAAGTTCAGTATTCAGCAAGTCTAAAAGATCTTATGGAATAATTGTAGCAGAAAAGACCTTGTCGGGGTTGGAGATCTATTCATGTCATCACTGACACACACAACTTATCCAGTTGTGTAGAGGTATAAGGTTGCATGTTTTGATCTGACATAAATTTAGCTTCATGTTAATTTCTATTTGGTACCAACATAGGAAAACAAAATCTTTTCAATAAATAAAGCTTTTTTTTCCATAGGATCAAAGTCTTGATAACTGCCACTTCCCTCCTGGAATAGGACGGGCAAAGGAGGGTGGTGGTATTGGTGTTAGCAGGACAGGAAGGAGAACTTAAACCTCATAATCTGTACAATTAAAATCATTGTGTCAATTCTAATCTTTTCCCCCCTTTCAGACATTTAAGGATGCTGTCAAGTCAATGGAGTTCTGGTTTTAGTGGTTGCTTCAGTGAACATTCAACGCTGTCGGTGAGTTTGGAATTAAAGTGAAAACCATCGACCGTTGATTGTACCCTCCAGCTAACCATCATCCTCCTTGCTTCATGCTTTCAGGCCTTTCACGGAAGATAGCTATCAAACCAGCACACAAGGTTTCTTCCCCCTCTCCCCCACTCATTTGCAGAGCTTTACAAAAAAGGTCACAATCAACATTCATTGCTGTCGGTGGGTTTAACTATGCGGACAAGCTCACTGAACAATGAATGCAACTGTGGCCCCACTTTTTGCGATCACAATCAAGAAAAACAACAGTTCAGAAAGCAACACTAAAAAGGTAGAAAATTTTTGTATGTATATCTTAAACTTCTCTGATCATAAGACCGTTGAATATTTTCAGGATTTTTTTATTTATTTTTTTGAAGAGATTGGTTTGATTCAAAGGTTCAGTATGTAATCACTGTCTTCAAGAAGAACATCCTTTTTTCTTGATTTCATTACAACGTAAAGACTGATTGATCTGAACATATGTCCTATTTGCTACAGATACAGAAGTGTTGGTATAGAATTTCTCTCTCAACTTCTGAGGAGTTTGTGTGTTGGAGGAGAGATGTTTAGAAACTCCTCTTTAAACTTAGGCAGTGTAACATTGCACAGAGGGGGAGATGGTTGTCCTAGCCAAGGCAAAACAAAACAAAAAAAGGAACGGGATAAAATTAGTTATATGATGGAGCCCTAGTTCAAAGGATACTGATAATATAGTATTCCAAGACAAGGAATAATTGATTTCTTTGTGAAGTTTATATTAAACACCTAATAAATATTCAAGGACACAAGCCTCATTGGAATTGCCCCTGTCCCAAGATAAGCCAGAACTAGGTAGCTGGCATTCCTCATAAACAAATTAACAAAAAAAATTAATAAACTTCAGGTCATTCTTTCAATTAGGGGAATGAGTTTTGACTACTTTTGCCACATTGCTATTTCATGCTTCCAGGTATAAGAAAGGAAAAGATATAAAAAAAGAAAACGGAAGCAAACTTCTACCTCCTCTACCAGTGTGGGTTAGCACTAATTTCTAGAACCAACTGAACCACTAACAAAATTTATGCAATTATCTGGGCCAGATGCAGCCATTAGGTTTGATCTTTACCAAACGAGTGTTGAAAACAGAAACTATTGATACGACAATAGGGAAAGATGCATCATAATATCCATTTCTCCCTTCTATGAGTTCCATTGGTAAAGACTTCAGTACCTCAAAAATCACACCACCTTTCTTGCCCTAATGCTTACCCAATTCACCAATCTTAATTCTTACCTGGCTCTCAGCCCTGTAGCATCTGAATATGGAGATCTCATCAATTTCACAGTACTGTAGTCATAAATTTACATTTTCTTCAAGAACTTGATATTCTTGATGTAATTAAAGAATGATAAAAAATACATGACAGATCTGACTTGGACCCCTTGCAAGACGAGAAACAGATCCATAAACAGTTATCCAGAAATCTAAGGGCATGTTCTCCTGAAAGGATGTGCCTTTTAATGAACACTAGTATTTTAGAATACTTTTTTTTTTTTCCAATGACGACTGTGAAGAGCAGGTCTAGAGGTACTGTTCTTGAAAACAAATGGTTTGGTTGGGTTACTTTATTGGCACCTTTGCTGAATGTTTTTTTTCTTTGGCTGCTTCTTTGAAGTAACGCACACACCCGCTGACTATATTCTCTTGTATGTTCTGCAGTGATGGCACCCTGGAATTTCTACAGAATCACTTACTGAGGTACTCAGACATGATCTTAATAAAAGGTTGCATCCACAAAGCTGTCTTGTATCTGAAAGCTGAACCTTTCATATGAAGTTGCAGCTAGTGTCCTGGTGAAGTTGGTGTTTAGAATTAGGTAATGACATGGGAGCAATGCATAACATGTTGGATTCTCCGGACATTATCACACCTCCTTAATATTAGATGTATTTTATTATATATTTATAAACAGACATGATACTTATAAGATGACGACCCTGGAACTTGGCAACACTACCATTTTATCTACATTGTGAACTTTTGCCTGCAGAACTGTGGTAGGCAGTGGTTTGAGGGAACACACCCTGTAGCAAACACAGTATTGGCAATAAAAAAGGGCTTCTGCCAGCAGAGCTGTTATTCAGGGCAGCTGGCATGTCTCTTGACAGCAAAAATCTCCTTCTGCCAAAATAGCTGCATCCACGCCAGGAGTTGGAACTGGAGTTTGCAGCAGGAAACTGATTTTGGACATACATATTTAAGAAGGTCTTTTTTCCATATCTGTGTTAAAAGAGTTCTAATCTTTTTTGTTTTCTCCATTTATTCAATAAATATACATTTATTTATATTACTGTACTGTAGAAAGGCTTAAGTCGGGATTGTGTCAGGCACAGTACAGTCACATGTGAAGACGCCAGCCCTATAGGACAGAATATTTACAATCTATAATGGACTTTATCAAATAGTTTGTTTTAATACAATATTCTTCACTGGACTCAGAGTTATTCCATGCTTCTGAATAATGTAATTCTTCTGCCATAGCAGGCTCTGAACACAGGTAGGTTGATCTTGCATAAAGTTTCAAGAGGCCACAGACCCATGCATATCAGAGCACATAATGAAAGAGAGAAAAGAATAAGAAGAGTCAAGAATCTTTACAGGTTTTTGCCACATGAATTACACTTTATATTTAATCTCTCTCTACTTTTGTATTTGGTGTGCGCAGATACTTCTGGAGCCATACGAACTGTAGGTTTATTAAACTCCATCCTTAAGTTTACTATCTGTGGGTTTTTCCATTGCAAATGCTAGAAGTTACAAGACAAAAGTAAAAATAGTTTAGTTAGCTTGCTCTGCATTTTAATGGTACCCACTGTAACTTCCATTAACATGCCTCCAATTGACATGTCTCTGCATCAGAGGAAAGAGATTCGACTCTGTTTAATGCAGCATTTCTGCAGTTTGTTGGACTTTGCCCAACAGACCAAGAATTTCACCCAATATTTTTTTTAACAAGCCTGTAACTTGTTAACTGTGTAGTTACTGGCTCCACAGAAAGGCAGCTAGCTTTTAGACTAACAGAATCAGAGATGCTTATGCACATGCATCTCTGATTCAATTAGTCAATAAGGTGCACCTCTACCCTGCCTGATGCCCAACTTCAGACTAACATAACATAACTAAACTTCCTCTCTCCCCCTTCAAAGTGTTACACTAAAGATACTCAGAGACTACAATCATGTCCTAATATCTCCAGGATTATATAATGGCTCCTTCACAATGATGTCTGACAACTCTGAGTAATCTCTCAAGATAAGTGGTCAGATATTGCTTCAGTAATGGGATGTTTGTGTAAAGAACAAATAGGTAAGCATGATTGAGTGCAATTTCTTCCTTCACCCTTAACCTTCATTTAACTTTGTATCCTTTTCCTGCCCCACTTTGCAATTTACCTAGCTTGTCATTTTGGGAGAATACAAAACAAATGCAAGAAATTCACACAACATTCCAAATACCAAAGACAAGGCCACCTTCTTAATTTTACACAAAAATCACTGACCTTTTAGCCAACAACAGCATTTGTAGTGGCACTGCACTATTAAACACATTTAAGTTTAAAACATCATCCTTGTATTTAGCTTTTTCCAGTGAGCTCTCCCCCAGCTTCTATCAGTTTATTTCATCTTAGTCAAATGCAATACCTTGCACTTATTGAACGTAAAACAATTTCTCCAAGATATAAATTTCCCCACAAAACTGAAATCTTAATGAAAGGTGGTTTTAAAACATGAAGGGTAGCAACAAGAATGTTAGCAAACATGAATATTAGCAGAAGCTTCTTACTACCCAAGAAATAGATTGTGTAAACTGCCCTTTATCACTATCCCTTTAAAAGAAAAAAAAAAAAGGGGGAGAGGGAGACAACCCAAGACAAATCAGGATGATCCAAGACAAATTAGATCTTCATCAGATGCAAAGAAAGGCAAGTTCTCTCTTACATACAGAAATGATAGGACTATTTTCAGTGTGGGTATGTGTACAAGAGGGACTGTATACACACCTAAAAGGTGTATGCATGCACACATATATGCATATTAAAATATGTACATGTTATGATTATTAAAAGATATAGCAGGCATTAATGTAAACCTAATTTAATTAGTGGGCATTTCTGAATTTCTGTTGTCAAAGTCAACCACCTTATAGCATTTTTAAGTGTTGCCCATTGGAATTATCATTAACATTAAACCTGGAAGCCCATGTGGTATGACTATAGAGCCCTGGTCCTCCAAACCTAATGGAGAGGAGCAGAAGGCTGTGTTAGGGAGGCATTAATAATGATTAGGTGGCCCTGGAGAAGAGGGAGTACAACACACAAGATGTCTGCATGTGTGTCTGGTTTCACAGATACCACTTCCTGCTTTTCTTTTGGCCTACTTTTCTGACCATATAGAAGAATGTGTTATAGCATACACCCACCTCCAAAGAGATCTAGCTATGAAAGAGACATGGCCACAAACTCAGTATTTTATATCATAACATTAGGTTCAGCATAAATGGTAGCAAGTTCTGGATGAGGTTTGAAACGGAGATTAGATTTTTTTTTTTTTTAGTCTGAAGTGGAAGCATTTGTGTAGCACAGCCTTGAAATACTGAGTTGCTTTCAGAGGAGTGACAGAAAATTATCTGTACAGCTACATAAGTCAAACCAGAAAATATGACCCTCCTTCTAGAACTACATCCGACTTCATGGCAAAACTATTGAGACAGGTTAAGATCCAAAAATTGTTACCAACCCATTCCAGGGTGACCACCCTTCCCTAATTGGGCAGGACAGTCCTGGAATGGGAACCTCAAGTCCTAGTCCTGGGCTTGGTAAATCAATGACAGCATTTGTCCTGGATTTGCAGAGTAATGTAGGAATCCATGAGAAGTGTCAGGTTTTGCTTTGCAGCCTGGCAGGTTCCAGCCTGCAAGGGGATGCCAGGAGCAGGACACAGGGGGTGCCATGTGCATGTGTGCCCACACACACACA